AATAATCTCAGTCTCTCTCTGTCTGTCTCTACTTTCTTTCTGCTCTCTCTCTCTCACTCTCAGTCTCTCTCATCTCTCTCTCTCTCTCTCTCACTCTCAGTATCTCTCTCTCTCTCAGTCTCTCTCTCTCAGTCTCTCTCTCTCTCCCTCTCGTTCTCGTGGTGGTGAAGTGACTGTCACTCACGTGATGAGAATTGATTGGTTTTCGCGATCTGCGGAAACGGGAAGAAAATATCAATCAGAGCGATCAATAATCAATAACAACATTGATTATATTGATTAATTATTATTGGTTATTGTTAGTGATTAATTATTATTGGTTATTGTTAGTGATTAATTATTATTATTGATTATTATTGATCAATTATGATCGATTATTATTGGTGATTATAACTGATTAATCATTATTAATTATTATTATTATTGATTATTATTGATTAATTATTATCGGTTATTATTGTTGATTATTATTGATTAATTATCGTTGTTGGTTATTGTTATTGACCATTAATTACTGTGTTGACGATGATATAACGTCCGCGTGTCTCTGGGGGTCACACACAGCGGAGAGTCCGGGGCCGGGAAGACCGTGAACACCAAGAGGGTCATCCAGTACTTCGCGAGTATCGCCGCTGTCGGGGGGAAGAAGGAGCAGCAGGACCGGGCGGGGAAGGTACCCCTGTCCGTCTGCGTCTGCGTCTGCGTCTGTGTGTGTCTGTGTGTGTACCTCTGTCCGTCTGCGTCTTGTGTGTCTGTGTGTGTACCTCTGTCCGTCTGCGTCTGTGTGTGTACCTCTGTCCGTCTGTGTGTGTCTGTGTGTGTATCTCTGTCCGTCTGTGTGTGTGTGTGAGTGAGTGTGAGTGAGTGTGAGTGAGTGAGTGAGTGAGACAGTGAGTGAGTGAGTGTGTGAGTGAGTGAGTGAGTGTGTGTGAGTGAGTGAGACAGTGAGTGAGTGAATGAGTGAGACAGTGAGTGAGTGAGTGAGTGAGGGAGTGAGTGAGTGAGACAGTGAGTGGGGGAGTGAGTGAGTGAGTGAGTGAGTGAGTGAGACAGTGAGTGAGTGAGTGAGTGAGACAGTGAGTGGGGGTGGAGAGTGAGACAGTGAGTGAGTGAGACAGTGAGTGAGTGAGTGAGTGAGTGTGTGAGTGAGTGAGTGAGTGAGTGTGTGTGTGAGTGAGTGAGACAGTGAGTGAGTGAATGAGTGAGACAGTGAGTGAGTGAGGGAGTGAGTGAGTGAGACAGTGAGTGAGACAGTGAATGAGTGAGTGAGTGAGGGGGGGAGTGAGTGAGTGAGTGAGTGAGTGAGTGAGTGAGTGAGTGAGTGAGTGAGTGAGGAGTGAGTGAGACAGTGAGTGAGTGAGTGAGTGAGTGAGTGAGTGAGTGAGTGAGTGAGTGAGTGAGTGAGTGAGGGAGTGAGTGAGTGAGACAGTGAGTGAGTGAGTGAGTGAGTGAGTGAGTGAGTGAGACAGTGAGTGGGGGAGTGAGGGAGTGATGATGATGGAGTGCTGTTGGGGATCAGGGAACGCTGGAGGATCAGATCATTCAGGCCAATCCGGCTCTGGAAGCATTTGGGAACGCGAAGACCCTTCGTAACGACAACTCGTCCCGATTCGTGAGTCCAATCGATCAATCGATCAATCGATCGCAAGAGCGCGAGAGAGAGAGAGAGAGAGTGTGAGCGGATTGACTGGACTGACTATTGGTTATTGATTGACTGACAATTGGTTATTGATTGAATGTCTATTGGTTACTGACTATTGGTTATTGATTGACTGACAATTGGTTATTGATTGAATGTCTATTGGTTATTGACTGACTATTGGTTATTGACTGACTATTGGTTATTGATTGACTATTGGTTATTGATTGACTGACTATTGGTTATTGACTGACTATTGGTTATTGATTGAATGTCTATTGGTTATTGACTGACTATTGGTTATTGACTGACTATTGGTTATTGACTGACTGTGGGTTATTGACTGACTGACTGGTTGATTGATTGATTGATTGATTGACGATTGGCCGATAATCCATTGCTTTTCTCACAGGGAAAATTTATCCGAATCCATTTTGCAGCGAATGGAAAATTAGCTTCAGCCGATATCGAGACGTGTGAGTTATTGATCAACGCCCTCTCTCTCTGTCTCTCTCTCTCTCTCTCTCTCTCCTTCCCTCCATCCCTCTCTCCCTCCCTCTCTTCTTCCCCCTCTCCCTCCCTCACCCGCTCTCTTTCCCTCATTCAACCCTAATAATACGGTGTCACACAACTATGCTGATCGATCGATCCATTTATTATCATTGATTGATTATTATTTGTTTGACTGACTGATTCATTGATTGATTGAGTAATTGAGTGAGTGAGTGAGTGAGTGAGTGATTAACCTATTAATATCAATGGATTGATTGGTTGATTCATTGATTTTATTGACTGACTGATTGATTGACTATTGGATATTGATCATTGACTGACTGTCTGATTGGTTGATTGATCGATTGATTATTGATCTCCTGCCCTCAGATCTCCTGGAGAAATCCCGGGTCACTTTCCAGCTGAGAGCGGAGAGAGATTATCACATCTTCTACCAGATCCTGTCTCAGCAAAAACCCGAACTGCTCGGTACGTTCTCTCTCTCTCTCTCTCTCTCTCTCTCACACTCTCTCTCTCTCTCGCACACACTCTCAGACTCTCTCTCTCACACTCTCCCTCTCTCTCTCTCTCTCTCTCTCTCTGTCTCTCACACACTCCTCTCTCACACACACTATCTCTCTCTCACACTCTCTCACTTTCTCACTCTCTCTCTCACTTACACACTCACACACTCTCTTACACTCTCACTATTTCTCACACACATTCTTTCTCTATCTCACACTCTCTCTCTCTCTCTCTCACACACACACTCTCTTACACTCTCACTCTCTCTCTCACTGTCTCTCTCTCTCACACTCTCTCTCTCTCTCTCACACTCTCTCCCTCTCTCTCTTTCTCTCTCTCACACTCTCTCCCTCTCTCTCTTTCTCTCTCTCACACTCTCTCTCTCTCTCTCTCTCTCTCGCAGAAATGTTGCTGATCACAAACAACCCCTATGATTACGCCTTCATCTCTCAGGGGGAGACAACTGTGGCTTCTATCGATGATAAGGAAGAATTAATGGCAACGGATGTGAGTGTAACACCCGCACACACTCTCGCACACACGCGCGCGCGCTCACACGCTCGCACACACGCACAACAAGACACACAGTCACTCCACGTGAGTGATGAAGACAAGAACACGAACAACAAAACGACATTAGGGCCCATCCGTGTAGGGATTAGGGGCTGCATCAAATTCAGGGAATATTATTATTATTATTATTATATTATTATTACTCTCTCTCTCCACCGCCCACCCCCCCACCCCGCACCGCTCCCCCCCCCCAGAGTGCCTTTGACGTCCTCGGCTTCACCCAAGAGCAGAAGAACGGGATTTATAAGTTGACGGGAGCCATAATGCACCACGGAAACATGAAGTTCAAGACCAAGCAACGAGAGGAACAGGCGGAGCCCGATGGCACTGAGGGTGAGTGTGTGTCTGTGTCCCCAACCCCAACCCAACCCCAACCCAACCCCAACCCCAACCCAACCCCAACCCAACCCCAATCCAACTCCAATCCAACCTCAACCCCAATTCAATCCCAACTCAAACCCAACTCAACTCAACCCCAACCCAAACCCCAACCCCAACCTTGTCTGTTGTTGTCCAGCGCCATGTGACGTCCTCCCGACGTGGAATAATACCCAAATGTAACTTGTTGTTGTTGTTGTTGTTGTTGACAGAGGCTGACAAAGCAGCTTATCTCATGGGCCTGAACTCCGCTGACCTCCTGAAAGGTTTGTGTCATCCTCGGGTCAAGGTCGGGAATGAGTACGTGACCAAGGGCCAAACTGTCCAACAGGTAAACGTACCGTGTTCACACTCACACACACACTCACAGACCCACCCACACACACACTCATACACGCACACACTCACAGACCTATCTATCTATCTATCTATCTATCTATCTATCTATCTATCTCTCTCTCTCTCTCTCTCTCTCTCTCTCTCTCTATCTATCTATCTATCATCTCTCTCTCTATCTATCTATCATCTCTCTCTCTATCCATCCTATTTCTCTCTCTCTCTATCCATCTATCCCTCTGTCTGTCTCTCTCTCTCTCTCCCTCTCTCACACTCACACCTCTGGTCACGTCACACGCAGCGGCAGAACACGGTTTGGGTAATATTTTCACGACGCCGTCTCTTTCGTTCCCCCTCTCCCCCTCTCTCGTTGCCCCTCTCTCTCTCAGGTGTATTATGCGGTCGGAGCTCTATCTAAGTCGGTCTACGAGAAGATGTTTAACTGGATGGTGGTGAGAATCAACTTGAGTTTGGATACCAAACTTCCGCGACAGCATTTCATCGGTGTTTTGGACATCGCAGGATTTGAGATCTTTGATGTACGTCTCTCTCGCTCTCTTTCTCTCTCTCTCTTTCTCGTTCCTCCATTCTCTCCTCTCTCTCTCTCTCTCTCTCTCTCCGTCTTCCTCAGTCACACGCGCGCACACTCTTTCACGCCCCGTCCCTCACTCTCTGCCTACGCTCTCTCACACACACTCTTTCTCTCTCACTCTCTCTCACACTCTCTCTCTCTCTCACACTTTCTCTCTCACACACTCTCTATTTCTCTATCTCGTTCTCTCTCTCTCTTTCTCTCTATGCCTCTCTCACAATCTCTCTCTCTCGTTCTCCCCCCTCTCTCTCTCTCTCTCTCTCTCGTTCCCCCTCTCGCAGTTTAACAGCTTCGAGCAGCTCTGCATCAACTTCACCAACGAGAAACTGCAACAGTTTTTCAACCACCACATGTTTGTGCTGGAGCAGGAAGAGTACAAGAAGGAGGGCATCGAGTGGGAGTTCATCGACTTTGGGATGGACCTTCAGGCCTGTATCGACCTCATCGAGAAGGTTAGAGCTCCACAAGGAGACCGCGCTCTCCTCATAACGTGTGTGTGTCTGTGTCCCAACTCGACCCCAAACCAACTCAACCCCAACCCAACTCAACCCAACCCCAATCCAACCACAACCCAACTCCTACTCAACCCCAAGACCATCCCAACCCCAATTCAACCCCAACTCAACCCCAACCCAACCCTAACCCAACCACAGCTCAACCCAATTCAACCCCAACCCAACCCCAACCCCAACTCAACCCCAACTCAACCTCAACCTCAACTCAACCCCAACCCCAACTCAACCACAGCTCAACCCAATTCAACCTCAACCCAACCCAACCCCAACTCAACCCCAACCCTACCCCAACTCTGTGTCTCTCTTTGTCTTTCTCTCTCTCCAGTCCTGAATCTATCCATCTCCCTCTCACACCTCAATTCATCCCGTGATTCTCTCTCTGACAGACTCTCTCACTCTCTTTCAGACACATTCTCACACTCACTCTCTCTCTCTCTCTCTCTCGCTCACAGCCTATGGGAATCATGTCCATTCTGGAGGAAGAGTGCATGTTCCCCAAGGCCAGTGACCAGACCTTCAAGGCCAAACTGTACGACAATCATCTGGGGAAATCCAACAACTTCCAGAAGCCTCGTATAGTGAAGGGAAAGCCTGAGGCCCACTTCGCTCTGGTCCACTATGCGGGGACAGTGGACTACAATATCTCTGGGTGGCTGCAGAAGAATAAGGACCCTCTGAATGAGACGGTGGTGGGACTGTACCAGAAATCCTCCATGAAGATGTTGGCCACACTCTTCATAAATTACGCTGGGGCCGATTCGGGTAAGTGAAGTCATCCTGTCACTGTCTCCCCATCGCTCCATTTCCCCACCTCTCCATCGCTCTGATCTTGTCCTGTAGCTCAGGGGTTAGACCCCTCGTCTCGCACCCCACAGCCCCTGTAGCTCAGGGGTTAGACCCACACAATAATAATCCTTCAAGAAAAAAAAAACAATAATAATTCGGTCCCTTCACCCCGCGGCTGTTTGTGGGGACGTCGCCGGGCGGCGCGATCGGCGGCCGCGTTTGGCCCCCGAAATACTCAGTCACTACACTTGACGGTGTGTCCCGCGAAGCGCTTTGAGAACGTCTCGACGACGGGATGTTATTGTTGGCGTCTGGTTTTCCCAGCTTCCGAGACGAAGGGGAAAGGGGCAAAGAAAAAGGGTTCCTCGTTCCAGACAGTGTCAGCCCTGCACAGGGTGAGTGTGAGACACACACACACACACACACACACAGACACACACAGTGTGAGACATACACACTCACACACACACACACACACACAGACATATACACACTCACACACACACACACACATACACACAGACACACACACACACACACACACAAACACAGACACACAGACACACACACACACACACATACACACAGACACACACACACACACAGACATACACAGACACACAGACACACACACACACACATACACACACTCACACACACACAGACACACACACACAGACACACACACACACACACACACAGACACACAGACACAGACACACACACAGAGTGTGAGACACACACAGTGTTATTATTAAATATCATACATTACGTATTATATATTATTGTCATTATATTTTATTATATAATATATTACATATTATATTATATATTATCATTATACAGTATATTACGATATATTCTTATGATATATTATTATATCATATTATGTTATTATACATTATTATATGGTATTATATTATTAATATTAATATTATATATCTGTGTCTCTGTCTCTCTCTACATTAGGAGAATATGAATGAGTTGATGACTATTATTATATATTATATTATTATTATCTATTCTTATATTATTATATATTGTATTATTGTTATTATATATTATATTATTATTATTATATAATATATTTATAACATTATTATATATTATATATTGTTATATATTATATATTGTTATATATTATATATTACACACTGTTATATATTATATTATTATATATCATATTATATATTATATGTTATTATATTATATGTTATTATATATTATATTATTATATATTATTATATATTATTATTATATATTATATGTTATTATTATATATTATTATATTATCCACATTAGGAGAATCTGAACAAGTTGATGACTAACCTGAGGACAACTCACCCACATTTTGTTCGCTGTCTGATTCCCAACGAGAAAAAAGGAACCGGGTTTGTGCTCAATATCAGAATAATTAATACTCATCTCTCTCTCTCTCTTCTCTCTCCTCTCTCTCTTTCCTCTTTCTCTTTCTCTCTCTCTCTCTCTCTCAATAATCTCTCTCTGTCTTTCTCTGTTTCTCTCTGTCTCTCTCTCTCTCTCTCTCTCTCTCAATAAATAATAATTATTCAGAATAATTCAGAATAATTAATACTAATCTCTCTCTTCTTTCTCTCTTTCTCTCTCTCTTTCTCTCTCTCCTCTCTCTCTCTCTCTCTCTCTCTCAATAATTAATAATAATTAATAATATTCTCTCTCTCTGTCTCTCTCACTCTCTCTGTCTCTCTCTGTCTCTCTCACTCTGTGTCTCTCTCACACTCTCTCTCTCTCTCTCTGTCTCTCTCACACTCTCTCTCTCTCTCTCTCTGTGTCTCTCTCACACTCTCTCTCTCTCTCTCTCTCCCTCTCAGGGATGATGGACAACCCGTTGGTTATGCACCAGTTGAGGTGTAATGGAGTCCTGGAGGGCATCAGGATTTGCCGGAAAGGTTTTCCCAACAGGATTCTGTACGGAGATTTCAAACAGAGGTACATCTCTCCTCTCACCCCTTTCCCCTTCCCCCTCTCTCTCCAAGCCTCCGTCTCTCTCTCTCTCCAGTCCTCTCTCTCTCGCTCTCTCTCTCTCACTCTCACACACTCTCTCTCTCTCACGCTCTCTCACACTCATTCTCTCACTCTCTCTCTCTCACTCCCTCTGTCTCTCTCACGCTCTCTCTCTCTCTCTCTGACACTCTCTCACTTTCTCACACACTCTCTCACACGTTCACTCTTTCTCACTCTCTCTCACTCTCACACTCACACTCTCACACACTCTCTCTCTCACGATCTCTCCCTCTCACGCTCTCTCTCACACTCTCTCTCTCTCACACTCTCTCTCTCTCTCTCACACACTCTCACGCTCTCTCTCACACTCTCTCTCTTTCTCTCTCTCGTCCCTGCGCAGATACCGTATCCTGAATCCCTCCGCTATTCCAGAGGGACAATTTATCGACAGCAAAAAAGGCGCTGAAAAGTTATTGGGGAGTTTGGACATCGACCACACTCAGTATAGGTTCGGTCACACCAAGGTTTGTCCCTCTCTCTCTCTGTCACTCTTTGTGTCACTCTGTGACTCTCCCTCTGTCTCTCTCTGTGTCTCAGTCTCTCTCTGTGTCTCAGTCTCTCTGTGTCTCAGTCTCTCTCTGTGTCTCAGTCTCTCTGTGTCTCTCTCATTCTCTCTGTGTCTCTGTCTCTCTCTGTCTCTCTCTGTGTCTGTCTCTGTGTCTCTCTCTGTCTCGGTCTCTCGCTGTCTCTCTGTGTCTGTCCCACTCTCTGTCTCGCCCACAAAACGCAGAGTCACTACACTTTACGGTACATGCCGTGCGTGTGCGTGCGTGTGTGTGTGTTTGTATGTGTGTGTGCGTGTGTGTACGTGTGTGCGTGTCTGTGTCTGTCTGTGTGTGTGTCTGTGTGTGTGTGTGTGTCTGTGTGTGTGCGTACGTGTCTGTGTCTGTCTGAGTGTGTGTGTGTCTGTGTGTCTGTGTGTGTGTGTGTGTCTGTGTGTGTGTGTCTGTGTGTGTGTGTGTGTGTCTGTGTCTGTGTGTGTGTGTCTGAGTGTGTGTGTGTCTGTGTGTCTGTGTGTGTGTGTGTCTGTGTGTGTGTGTGTGTGTGTCTGTGTGTGTCTGTGTCTGTGTGTGTGTCTGTGTGTGTGTGTCTGTGTCTGTCTGTGTGTGTGTGTGTCTGTGTGTGTGTGTGTGTGTGTGTTGTAAGACAAACTTCGCCCCTCCGACAATCTTCCAATGTATAATCGATATCGGTTGGTGAAGGTCTCTCTCTCGGTTCGGGTCCACAGGTGTTTTTCAAGGCCGGACTTCTCGGGCAGTTGGAGGAGTTGAGAGACGAGCGATTGGCCCGAATTATCACCCGGATCCAGGCTCAGTCTCGTGGTCTCCTCATGAGGATTGAGTTCAAGAGGATTGTGGAACGCAGGTAATTGGGAGAGAGGTCCTGTAGCTCAGGGGTTAGACCGCTCCCCCTCACACCCCACAACCCCTGTAGCTCAGGAGTCTCTCTCTCTCTCCCTCCCTCTCTCTCTCACACACACTTTCTCACACTCTCTCCCTCCCTCCCTCTCTCTCTCTCGCCAGGGATGCCCTCCTCGTGATCCAGTGGAATATCCGAGCCTTCATGGGGGTGAAGAACTGGCCTTGGATGAAGCTCTTCTTCAAGATCAAACCTCTGCTGAAGTCCGCGGAGACGGAGAAGGAGATGGCCAACATGAAGGAGGAATTCCTGAAGCTGAAGGAGGCCCTGGAAAAATCCGAGACCCGGAGGAAGGAACTGGAGGAGAAAACCGTCTCCCTCCTCCAGGAGAAGAACGACCTCCTCCTCCAAGTCCAGTCGGTGAGAAGGAGAGGGAGTGTGAGAGAGACAGGGAGTGTGAGAGGGAGAGAGAGAGAGAGAGGGGGAGTGTGAGAGGGAGAGAGGGAGTGTGAGAGAAAGAGTCATGGACACACTCACACACGCAGATACACACACTCACACACACTCACACACTCACACACGCGGACACACACACATTCACACACGGACACACACTCACACACTCACACTCACACGGACACACACTCACTGCCACCAACACAGACGCACACAGAGACAACAACAACACAATTCCATGTGTGTTCACGTCGGGAGGTCGTCCCATGGATGGAGGTCCTGCGGGTGGGGGCAGAGTGGCTGAAGGCTCGCCTGACGTTAGTGGGGTCGGGCGAGGATGGGGGTGATGATGATGGTGATGGAGGAGATGATGATGGAGATGGACACAGCCCTCCCCCCCCCCCCAATCTCCCTGACCGTCCCCGGTTTCTCGCCCACAGGAACAGGACAACCTGACGGATGCCGAGGAGCGCTGTGACCAGCTGATCAAGAACAAGATCATGCTGGAGGCCAAGAGCAAGGAACTGACCGAGAGGCTGGACGACGAGGAGGAGATGAACGCTGAGCTCACCGCCAAGAAGCGCAAGCTGGAGGACGAGTGCTCGGAGCTCAAAAGGACATCGATGACCTGGAGCTCACGCTGGCCAAGGTGGAAAAGGAGAAGCACGCCACCGAGAACAAGGTCAGCGAGTCTGTGGGTCAGTGTGTGTGTGCGCGCGTGTGTGCATGGGTCTGTGTGTGTGTCTGTGTGTGCGTGTGGGTGTGGGTGTCTGTGGGTCTGTCCAATTCCCCCGAATAAAATAGGCCAAAAATGGCTGTTTGGGGGCCTTCCTTGTGTCCAATTGGCGGTTTCCCTCACTCTCTCTCCTTCTCTCTCTCTCTCTTTTCTCTCGTTCCCTCTCTCAGGTGAAGAACTTGACCGAGGAGATGGCCGGGTTGGATGAGATCATCGCCAAGTTGACGAAGGAGAAGAAAGCTCTTCAGGAAGCTCACCAGCAAACACTGGACGATCTTCAGGCGGAGGAGGACAAGGCCAATTCCCTGAGCAAAGCTAAGGCCAAACTGGAGCAACAAGTGGACGATGTGAGTCACACGGACACCTCACACCCGTCCCCTCACCTCACACCCGTCCCCTCACCTCACACCCGTCCCCTCACCTCACACCCGTCCCCTCACCTCACACCCGTCCCCTCACCTCACACCCAACTCCACACCTCATACCCATCCCCTCACCTCACACAGATTGGGAGGTGGTTTGGAGATTGGGAGATTGGGGGATGAGGGAGTTGAGGAGATGGGTGTGAGATGATCATCTCCCAATTCCATCTCACACCCAACTCCACACCTCACACCCATCTCCCCAACTCCCAATCCCACCCTCTGGAATTCCATCCCACAGTCCCTCCGTCTCGCCCCCTCCCTTACCTCCTCGGAGACTCGGCTCAAGACCCTCCTCTTCAACCATGCCTTCGTGTTGTTGATGACGATGGTGGTGGTGATGTTGTTGGTGATGTTGTTGGTGTTGGTGTTGATGACGATGTTGGTGTTGATGTTGGTGTTGGTTTTGTTGTTGGTGTTGATGTTGATGTTGGTGTTGATGAGCACAGCTGGAGGGCTCCCTGGAGCAGGAGAAGAAAGTGAGGATGGACCTGGAACGGGCCAAGAGGAAGCTGGAAGGGGATCTGAAGCTGACGCAGGAGAACGTGATGGATTTGGAGAACGACAAACAGCAGATTGAGGAGAAGCTCAAAAAGTGAGGACAACACACACACACTCTCCCCCAAACACACACACGCCCAACCTAACTCTCTCTCTCTCTCACTGGCCCTCACTCTCTCTCTCTCTCTCACTGATCCTCACCTTCTCTCCCTCTCTCCCTCTCTCTCTCTCTCTGTCTCGCGCCGTCTCTAGGAAGGATTTCGAGATCAGTAATCTGACCAGTAAGATTGAGGATGAACAATCTTTGGGAATGCAACTCTCAAAAAAACTGAAGGAACTTCAGGTAATCACTGATTTCAGCCACGAGGCCCCGAAACTCGGTCACTTTCTCTCCCAGTCTCTCCGCCTTGCTCCCTTCCTTTCCTCCGTAGAAACAGGAGGAGGCCATTCAGCCCCTCGAGCCTGTTCCACCATTCTGTAAGATCATGGCTGATCTGTACCTCAAGTCCAGTTATCCATCCATGACCCGTATCCCTTCAAACCCTGACCTTTCGATCTCTCTCTCTCTCTCTCTCTCTCTTTTTCTCTCTCTCACACTCTCTCTCTCTCAGGCCAGGATAGAGGAGTTGGAGGAGGAGCTGGAGGCCGAGAGAGCAGCGAGGGCCAAGATGGAGAAGCAGCGTTCAGACCTGTCCCGGGAACTGGAGGAGATCAGCGAGAGGCTGGAGGAGGCCGGTGGGGCCACCTCGGCCCAGGTGGAGATGAACAAGAAGCGGGAGGCCGAGTTGCAGAAGCTGAGGCGGGATTTCGAGGAGGCCACCCTCCAGCACGAGGCCACCTCGTCCGCCCTCCGCAAGAAGCACGCCGACTCGGTGGCCGAGCTGGGCGAGCAGATAGACAACCTCCAGAGGGTCAAGCAGAAGCTGGAGAAGGAGAAGAGCGAACTCAAGCTTGAGGTGGATGACGTGGCCTCCAATATGGAGCACATCGTCAAGGGCAAGGCAAGTCCCATCTGTCAATCTCTTCCCAAACTCTTCCCAGATCTTCCCAACTCTTCCCAACTCAACCAAACTCAACCCCAAATCAACCCAGTTCTTTCCATCCATTCCTAATCCTTCACAATCCTTCCCAACTCTTGTCAACTCTTCCCAATCTTTCCAAACTCTTCCTCAACTCTTCCCAACTCTAATCAGCTCTTCCCAATCCTTCTGAGGTCTTCCCATTTCTACCCAACTCTAACCAACTCTACCCAACTCAACTCAACCCAATTGAACCCCAACTGAAGCCAACTCTTCCCAACTCAACCCCTCAACCAAACTCAACCCAACAATCCCACCCTACCCAACTCTTTCCCGACCCTTCCCATCTCTTCCCAACTGTGTCAGACACCCGGCTTATCATGGTGATAGGTTCCCACGCTCGTGTGTGTAACGAGAGAGGCACTGCTGATCACGGTGACTGGTTTCCGTGTGACTGACTGGAAGTCGGGTTATTATATTGTTGGGTGTTTGTAGGCGAACCTGGAGAAGATGTGCAGAACTCTGGAAGATCAGATGAACGAATACAGAACGAAATCGGAGGAGGGTCAGCGAACTCTCAACGATCTCTCTGCTCAGAAAGCTCGTCTCCAAACAGAGAACGGTAAAAACACACAGTCACTACACTTCACACTGTATCCTGTGAACGCGCTTTGAGACGTCTTGAACAACGTGATGAGGCGCTGTGTTAAATGCAAGGATTACGATCATAATTATTATTATTATTAAGCCCTTTCCCCTCACTCATACACACTCACTTGGTCACACTCACACTCTGTTTCTCTCTCAGTTTTTCTCTCTCTTTCTGTCTCAAAACAAATGATATAGTTGTCTCTCTCACACTCTCTCTCTCTCTCTCTCTCTCTCCCTCTCTCGCTCTGTCCCAGGGGAGCTGTGCAGGCAGCTGGAGGAGAAGGAGAACCTTGTATCTCAGTTGACCCGGGGGAAGGTGTCCTACACCCAACAGGTGGATGACCTGAGGAGACAGCTGGAAGAGGAGGTCAAGGCAAGTCACAAGCCCATTATGTCGGCCCGGCTCACTCTCTCACTCTCTGAGTTATTGGCTTTGTGGAGTCCTGTAGCTCAGGCGTTAGACCCCTCGCCTCGTAAGCGAGAGGACCTGCATTCAATTCCAGGACGGGACAGGACAGGGCGAGACCTTAGGCAAGTTTCCTTACTCCTCAAACAAGCTCACACGCCTGTGCCCCCGGCAGTCAGCAGGAACCCCCTTGTTAGTCGATTGGGGGATCACTTTCTGGGGATAATAATTCCTTAACAAGATAATAATGTGGTCACTTCAATCCACGACTGTTGTGGGGACGTCGCTGGGTGCAATTGGCTGCCCCATTTCGGCCAAAAAAACACACAGTCACTACACTTTACAGTATGTCCTGTGAAGCGCTTTGAGGCGTCTCGAAGACGTGATAAGGCGCCGGGTCCAACGCCGGGATTATTGTAATTGATATAAACGCAAGTTATCTTTGGTGTTGTCGGTGTTGGTGTTGATGCTGACGTCTCTCTCTCTCTCTCTTTGCTTCTCTCTCTCTCATACACACACTCTCTCTCTCTCTCTCCCTCTCTCTGACCAGGCTAAGAATGCTCTAGCTCACGCTGTCCAGTCTGCCCGACACGATGCTGACCTCCTGAGGGAACAGTATGAGGAGGAACAGGAGGCCAAGGGGGAGCTGCAGAGGCTCCTGTCCAAGGCCAACTCCGAGGTGGCCACGTGGAGAACCAAGTACGAGACCGACGCCATCCAGAGGACAGAGGAGCTGGAGGACGCCAAGTACGTGCCCGTCTGTAACCAACACTCACAGCCCTTCCCCAACTCTTCTAAACTCTTCTCAAACCTTCCTAACTGTTCCCCAACTCTTCAGTACTCTTCTAAACTCTTGCCAAACCTCCCCAATTCTCTGAGTCCTTTCCAAACTCTTGCCAACACTTTACCTATCTCTTCCCATCTAATCCCCACCTCTCCCCAATCCTCCCCAACTCTTCCCCCAATGCAACGCATCCGAACTCTTCCCAACTCCAACCATCATCTATCCAACTTTTCCCAACACATTCTAGCTATTCCTTTCCCTTGCCAACTGAACCCAAACTCAACCCCAACTCAATCCCAACTCAACCCCAACTCAACCCCAACTCAACCCCAACTCAACCTCAGCTCATCCCAAATCTTCCCGCTCTTCCTAACTCTACCCAATTCTTTCCATCTCTATACAATATCTGCCCCAACTCTTTCCGTCTGTTCGTATCCATTCCCAACCCTTCCCAACTCTTCCTCAACTCAGTATAACACTTTCCAGCTGTTTCCTGTCCCTTCCCAACTCTTCCCAAGTCTACCCACCTCCCCACAACTCTTCCCAACCTTTTCCAAATCTTCCCACATCTTCCCCGCCCCCCCCCCCCCCCACGCTCCCCCTCCCACCCGCCGCCCACTGGCTGTGGGTGTGTATCTCAGTCCTAAGGGAGGCTGTGAGGGAGCTCCAAGCCGCCCGTCTCCTGCTCTGAGACTTTCTTCGACCGAGGAAGCTTTTTGCTCGGATTATATTTTCCTGTCACTCATATAAGACGAGCAGAAAGTTTGTTCGTTAGGAGGAGAATCGTCTGGTTTCCACAGCGACCGGCCAAAGAGCGACAAAGGTGGGACAAGGGACGAGGGCAGAGCCAGAGAGTCGGGGGGTGGGGGGAGGAGGGGGGTCGGGGTGGGGATGCGGAGAGAGAGTGGGAGAGAGAGAGAGAGAGAGGTGGGGAGTGCTGTAGAGTGTAGGAGGGAGGGAAGGAGGGAAGAGCGAGAGAATTGAGGGGTGCAGAGTCTAGGAGGAAGAGGGAGGGAGGTGAGGAGTCCTGTAGGGTCCACTCTCTCTCACACACACTCTCCTCTCTCTCTCTCTCTCTCTCTCTCTCTCTGTCTCTCGCACTCTCTCTCTCGTACCTTCAGGAAGAAGTTGGCCCAGAGGCTACAGGATTCTCTCTCTCTCTGTCTCACGCACTCTCTCCTGCTCTCTCTCTCTCCCTCTCTCCGTCTCTCACGCTCTCTCTCTCTCTCTCTCTCTCTCTCGCGCCCTCAGGAAGAAGTTGGCCCAGAGGCTACAGGAGGCGGAGGAGCAGGTCGAGGCCGTCAATGCCAAATGTTCTTCGCTGGAGAAAACCAAACACCGTTTGCAGAACGAGATCGAGGACCTGATGATCGATGTGGAGAGATCCAATGCTGCTGCCGCGGCCCTGGACAAGAAGCAGAGGAACTTTGACAAGGTCCTACATCTCCTCCGTGTCTCCTTCTCTACATCTCCTCCCTATCTCCTCTCTCTCTCTCTCTCTCTCTCCATCTCTCTCTCTCTCCCCCGCTCTAAACGAGCAGTGAAACGTTGACAAGGTCCTACATCACTCTCTGCATCGCTACATCTCTCTTCCTCTCCCTCTCTCCTCTACATCTCCTCACTCTCTCTCTCCCTCTCTCTATCTCTCTCTCTGCGTCTCCGTGTCCCTCCATCTCTGTCCATCTTCAGTATTTCCTCTCTACCTCTATCCTTTTCTACATCTCGCTCTTTCTCCATCCTTCAACACTCTCCTCTGTGTCTCCATCACCTCTCCTCCCATCAATGCTCCTCTCTGTATCTGTCCCTCTGCATCTTCAGCATCTCCTCTCTCTCTATCTCTCCATCTCTCCTCCTGTCTCCATTTCTCACTGTGTCTTTGCATCTCTCTCTCTTCATCTTCAACACTCCTCTCTATCTCTCACTGTGTGTCTCTCCTTCTCTATCCCAGACTTTCCCTCCGCTTCTCTTTCTCCATCTCCATCCTTGTCTCTCCATCTCTCTTCTTTCTTCATCTCTCTCTATTTCTCTCTCCATCTCTGTCTCTCTCCTCCCTCACCCCAATTTGTTGCTGACTTTCCCCCACTTTCTGTTTCTTTCTCCCCCTCTCTCCATCCCTTCACTTTCTCCCTCTCCCCACCTTCGCCTCTCACTTCTCCCTTCTATACTGTCTCTCTCTCTCTCTCTCTCGCTTCTCTCACTGCTGCCCATCCCTTCTCTTTCTCTCTCTCTCTCTTTCTCTTTCTCTCTCTCACTCTTGCGTATGTGACCTCTTGTTATTGACTGGCTCTCATCTCTTCTCTCTCCTCCTTGTCACCGTCTCCCTCCCCCCACCGCCCCCCCCCACTCTCTCTCTCTCTCACACTCACAGGTGCTGTCGGAGTGGAAACAGAAGTATGAGGAATCGCAGAGTGAGCTGGAAGGGACACAGAAGGAGGCGCGCTCCCTCAGCACTGAACTCTTCAAGCTCAAGAACGCTTATGAGGAGTCACTCGACCACCTGGAGACCCTCAAGCGAGAGAACAAGAACCTGCAAGGTGGGCACGAGAGGGAGAAGGTTCCCCCAGGCCCCAGCTTGGTCCAAACCCAATCCTTGGTCTACAAACCCAATCCTTCACCCCCAAACTCAACGCTTCTTCCCCAAACCCAACCATTTCCTCCCAAATCCACTATCTTTGTCACCCCATCCTTCCTCTGCCAACTCATCCCCAACTCAACCCCAACCCAACTCATCCCCAACTCAACCCCAACTCAACCTAACACAGACTCGCACACACACACAAACACTAAATCCAGTTTGGCTTTTGGTATTTCAGAGGAGATCTCGGATCTGACGGAACAGCTGGGAGAGACCGGGAAGAGCATCCACGAGCTGGAAAAGGTCCGGAAACAGTTGGATCAGGAAAAGCAGGATTTGCAGTCCGCGTTGGAGGAGGCCGAGGTAGGAAGGGAATGGCCCAAAACGGTGCTGTGTGTGTGTATGTGTGTGTGTGTGTGTGCAAGAGGCGAGTGAAGCTCTGAGATGTGCGTGTAGTGTGACCTCTCTCTCTCTCTTGTCCCCTCCCTCCCTCTCCCTCTCTCTCCCTCCTTCCCTCTATCCCTCTATCCCTCCTTCCCACCTTCCCTTCCAACCCCAAAGGCCACCCTGGAGCACGAGGAGGGTAAGATTCTCAGAGCCCAGCTGGAGTTCAACCAGGTGAAGGCCGACATGGAGAGGAAGTTGGCAGAGAAGGACGAGGAGATGGATCAGGCCAAGAGGAACCATCTCAGGATGGTGGAATCTCTCCAGACCTCGCTGGAGTCCGAGACCAGGAGCAGGAACGAGGCCCTCAGGGTCAAGAAGAAGATGGAGGGAGACCTGAACGAGATGGAGGTGCAGCTGAGCTTGGCCAACCGCCAGGCCTCCGAGGCTCACAAGCAGGTCAAGCAGCTCCACATCACTCTGAAGGTATCTGACCTTGTTCTTCTCTCCACTTCCACCCAAGTTGGGGTAGAGTTGGGGTTGGTTTGGGGTTGAGTTGGGGTTCCTCTGAACCTTGGGCCTGCGATACATCTCTGAATCTGACCATCAATTTGTCTCCACAGGATATTCAAGTCCATCTGGACGACACTCTGAGGGGCAACGATGACCTGAAGGAGAACATTGCGATGGTGGAGAGAAGGAACAACCTCCTCCAGGCTGAGCTGGAGGAGCTCAGAGCCGTCATCGAGCAAACAGAGCGGACTCGCAAGCTCGCCGAGCAGGAACTGATCGAGACGAGTGAGAGAGTTCAACTGCTCCACTCCCAGGTAACGGGGGCGAGAGAGAGGGCGAGGGTGGTGGGGGAGTGGCGGTGGTGCGAGAGAACGGGTGGAGGGGAGAGAGAAAGGGGGAACAGGGAGTGATGTGGGGTTGAGGTGGAGTTAAGTTGGGTCAAGTAGGAACCCACTTGTTAGTCGATGGTCAGATCGCTTTTCCGGGGGTAATAATCCCTTACAAAATGATAATAATAATAATAATAATACGGATAATTTGGTCACTCAATCCATGACTGCTTGTGGGACATCGCTGTGTGCAATTGGCATTTCGCCACAAAATATGCAGTCACTACACTTTACCGTTGGGGTTGAGTTGGGTTGGGGTTGAGGAGGATTGGGGTTGAGTTGGTTGGGGTTGGCTCGTGGTTGAGGAGGTTTGGGAAGGGCTGGGTTGGTGAGGGGAGGCCAGGGCTGTTGAGGTAAGTTCTCAGCTGACCCTGGTCCATGTTTCTCGTCGCCCAGAACACAGGTCTCATCAACCAGAAGAAGAAGCTGGAGTCAGACATTATTCAGCTCCAGACGGAGGTGGAGGAGGCCATTCAGGAGAGCAGGAATGCAGAGGAGAAAGCCAAGAAAGCCATCACTGATGTGAGTCCAGTGTTGATCCGGATTTATTCAGTCATCCACACATTTATTACATCCGGACTCGACTACACCAAGACCCTGCGTGTCAGGTTCTCCAACAACTCCCTCCACAGGCTGCAGATCACCCAGAACTAACTCTGCAGCCCATGTCCTCGCCCGCACCGGGCTCTGTGACCCCATCACCCCCATCCTCGCCCGACTCCACTGGCTCCCCATCCTCCAGAGGATCCAGTTCCAAATCCTCGTACTCACCTTCAAGGCCCACCGTGGCCCGGCTCCTCGACATCCTGTCTGCTCCCTCCGCTCAGTGGGCTCTGGCTGCCCCGCTCGCCCCGTCTCACCATCAGCAGTTGGGCAAACACAAGTTATCATTTGGGAGGGAGAGGAGGGGTTGGTGTGGGCCCATCTGTGTCTGACAATGTTCTCTCTCTCTCTCTCTCTCTGTTTGGGGGTGATGTTGACTATTCTTGTTGTTGACATTGGTGCGTGTGTTGGTGCGTGTGTGTTGGTGTGTGTTGGTGTGTGTTGGTGTATGTGTGTGTTGGTGTTGGGGGTAAACAGGCGGCCATGATGGCGGAGGAGCTGAAGAAGGAGCAGGACACCAGCTCCCACCTGGAGAGGATGAAGAAGAACATGGAACAAACCATCAAAGACCTTCAGCACAGACTGGACGAGGCTGAACAGATCGCCATGAAGGGCGGCAAGAAACAGATCCAGAAACTGGAGGCTCGGGTTAGTGTCTGGAGGCTGAGCCGAGGGGGGGCCTGAGGTGGGGTGGAGTTGGGGCTGAGATGGGGTTGAGTTGGGTTAGGATTGAGTTTGGGCTGAGTTGGAGTTGAGGTGGGGTTGGGTTGAGAGTGGGAGAGAGAGATTGAGAGGGAGAAGCTCTCTCTTTCCCTCTCTGGGCTGAATTCCCAGGAATGATTGCCTTTCTTTTTCTCTTTCTCTCTCTCTCTCTCTCTCCCTCCCTCCCCTCATTCTCTCTCTTCTCCGTCACCCTTCCTCCCTCCCCAGGTACGCGAGTTGGAGGGTGAGTTCGAAGGAGAGCAGAGGAAGAGTTCAGAGTCCATCAAAGCCGTCAGGAAATACGAGAGGCGTGTCAAAGAGTTGACATATCAGGTTGGTACTGTCCCTCTCACACTCACTCCATCTCCGGACTCCCCCCAAGTCTCTCTCTGATGATTTTATTGTCTTCTTCAGTCTGAGGAAGATAGGAAGAACTTGAATCGCCTTCAGGACTTGGTGGACAAACTGCAACTCAAAGTGAAAGCCTACAAGAGATCATCGGAGGAGGCGGTGAGTGACCGAGTCAGAGGCGGAGGGACCCTGGGAGGAGGGGAGCGACCTGGAGGGAGGGAGGGAGGGAGGGAGGGAAGGGGTGAGGCAGAGGGTGAAGGGATTGGCAGAGACAGGAGGCCAGGGCAAGAGTGAGAGCGGAGAAAATATTAATAATAATCCTGGCGTTCGACCCGGCGCCCGATCGCATCGTCGAGACGTCTCAAAAGAGCTTCACGGGCCACGCTATCAAGTGTAGTGACTGTGTGTTTTGTGGGCGCAGCTAATTGTGCCGCCCAGCGACGTCCCCACAAACAGCCGTGGGTCGAAGTAGCCACAATATTGGGATTGAAGGGATCATTAACCCCGGAAAGCGATCCCCCAATCAACTGACAAGCGGGTTCCTACTGACTGCTGGGGACCCCACTCCCCCGCGCTCTCTCTCCCCACAGCCCTGATCAACCCCACTCCCCCCGCGCTCTCTCTCCCCATAGCCCTGGTCAAGCATTCCAGATCCCCTCGCCTCCCCTCGGTTTCTTTTAGCAGCCGTATAAAGTCGGCGTCCTCGGGTTACCGGCCCACCCGCCAGTCGAAGCAGTCTCTCCTCCTCCGCCCTATCGAATCCCCTCGTCACTCTGAAGCCTTCCACCAAGTCTCCTCTTCACCTGCTCTGCTCCAGGGAGAATAATCCCAGCTTCTCCGGCCTCTCCTGATCGCTGAAGCCCCTCATTCCCTTTGCGCCCTCTCCAATGCCTCGACGCCCTTCCCAAAGTGCGGGGCCCAGAACTGAAGGCAGTCTCCGGCTGAGGCCTCACCAGCGTTTTGTGTAAAGGTTCATCATGGCCTCCTGACTCGCGTACTCTCCGCCCGGCTCTCAGCTTATATCGATTGCCTCTCCTCACTCTTCCTCTCAAAATGCACCACTTTGCATTCCTCCCCCTCAAGCTTCAGCTGCCACCTGTCTGCCCACGTTACCAGTCTATCACGCGTTGCTCCCTCTTCCCAAGTCCGGGTCATTGATACGGACCAATACTGCCCCATGTGGGACGCCACCGCGCATCACAAACACGACCGATGATGGACGTGGTCTCGTTTGAATGTTCCTGGGAATGGGCAGGGAGTCGGGGCTTGACACCTCTCCGTGTTTGGGGACCCTCAGGAGGAACAGGCCAACAGCAACCTGGGAAGGTTCCGGAAGATCCAGCACGAGCTCGACGAGGCCGTGGAGAGAGCGGACATCGCGGAGAGTCAGGTCAACAAACTGAGAGCCAAGACCAGGGAGGTCACCAGCAAGGTAACGCACGGAGAGAGGGAACGAGAGAGTGGAGAGAGAGAGAGTGAGACTGAGAGAGAGAGAGAGACTGAGAGAGAGTGAGAGAGACTGAGAGAGAGAGTGAGACTGAGAGAGAGTGAGAGAGAGTGTGAGAGAGAGAGAGAGAGAGAGACTGAGACTGAGAGAGAGAGAGTGTGAGAGAAAGAGTAAGAGAGAGAGAGAGCCAAGACCAGGGAGGTTACCACCAAGGTACAGACGGAGAGAGAGAGAGACGTGACCGGCGAGGTACATGGTCAACTGTATCCCGGGCCATTTCCTGCTCTCCCTCTCCTTCACTCACTCCATCACTCCTTCTTCACTCACACGCTCACGCACTCACTCACTCCTTCACCCCCCACACTCCCTCCCTCCCTCCCTCCTCACTCTCGCGCATCCCCCCATCACTGTATCTGACCGACTCAAACTTTCCACGATCTGTTCATGAATTCATATTTTTCTGTTTCTCTCTTCCTCTCTCACTCTCTCCCCTCCCTCTCCCCTTCTCTCTCTCCCTCTTTCTCCCCCGACAGAGAACCATGGACGAGGAATAACAGAAATGGGTTTCTTCTCTCTCGCTCGTGCTCTCTCTTTCTATGGACACCCCCTCGAACGTGGACAGACCCTGGCGTAAAGCGTACAGCAGTCGCCGTCCGACACCCCCTCTCTCTCCCTCCCCCCTCTCCCCCTCTCCCCCCTAATTAAACCCCTCGACAATTGAGGACAGCAAATAAACCCTTTTATTCTCCTACGTCTGTCTTCTCCCTCTTTATTCCGCACCCAATCCCGTTGGCTCTCGTCACGCACACGGTCAACGAAAAAGCACCACGACAACTTGCATTCGGCCCGGCGCCCGATCACGTCTCGAAGCGCTTCACCGGACAGCGTAGTGACTGTGTAGTTGGCGGGGGGGAAACGCGGCAGCCGATCGCGCCGCCCGGCGACGCCCCCACAAACGGCCGCGGGGTTGAAGCGACCGAATTATTATTATTTATTGTTGTATTAAAGGGATTATTACCCCCGGAAAGCGATCCCTCGATCGACTGACAAGTGGGTCCCTACTGACCGGGAAACACAGGCGCACACGTGTGTGTGTGTGTGTGTGTGTGTCTGTGTGTGTGGGGGGGGGGGGGGTAAGGAAACTTGCCCCAATGTTTCGCCCTGACCCGGGGATTGAACCCAGGTTCTCGCGCTTGTGTGGAGTCGCTGTTGGTGTTAACAGGAGGACAGCAATGAGCGACAGAGTGTGAGAGAGAGAGAGAAATAAAAGAGAATTATTGGTCATATTAATCGTGTAATAACATTGTAATAATACAATATAATAATAATATAAGAATACAATGTAATGCTATAATAGTAATGCAATAATATGATAATATAATATAATGTAATAATATAAAAATATAAAATAATTATAAAATAATAATATAATTAGATAAAAATAACATAATATAATAATAAGACTATAACAATAATAATATAGGAATGACATAATAATATAGTACAATAATAGTAATATAGTAATATAATATAACATAACGTAATAATACAAGAATAATATAATACTATGACATAATAATATGACATAATAATATAATCAAAATATATAATGTATTCATAATGTAATATAATAATATAGAATCATAGAATTCTACAGCACATAAAAGAGGCCATTCGGCCCATCGAGTTTGTGCGGCTCTTTGAACGGAGCAATTAATGTCAGTCCCACTCCCCGGCCCTTTACCCATAAGTCACCGACGCACCCACCGGAAGTTCTTCCCTTTCCGACCTATCAAACCCCCCTCACGATGTTGGAAGACCTCTATCAGGTCTCCTCGTCACCTTCTCTGCTCCAATGGAGAATAATCCCGGCCTCTCCGGCCTTTCCTCATCATCACGGTCCCTCGTTCCTGGTCCCATCCTCGTACATCTCCTCTGTACCCTTCCCAATGCCTTAACGTCCTTCCTATCGTGCGGTGCCCAGAACTGAGGTCTCACCAGTGTTTATATGGGTTAATCATCACCTCCTGACTCTTGTACTCTTTGCCCCTATTTATAAAGCCCAGTATCCCCTTTTTACAGCCTTATCTCCCTGTCCTGCCACCGTCAAGGACTCATTTACCTGCCCCCCCGGGTCTCTCTGATCTTTTTACCCCCTTAAGATTGTATTTCCGGCCGATATTCCCCTCATTCTTTCTACTAAAATGCATTACTTCGCATTTCCCCACATTGAAACTCATCTGCCGTGCGTCGCCCATTTTACCGTCTGTCTATGCCTTCCCGCAGTCGGCTCCTGTCCTTCTCACCGTTGACCGCCCTCCCTAACTTTGTGTCGTCCGCAAACTTGGAGATGGCGCTCGCTGTACCCAAGTCCAGGTCATGTATGTATGTTAAGAAGAGCGGTGGTCCTAATACCGATCCCTGGGGGACACCACTGTACACTTCCCTCCAGTCAGAAAAGCAGCCGTTCACCACAACTCTCCGCTCTCTGTCTCCCGGTCAGTTCGGGATCCGCTGTCACTGTCCCTTTTATCCCACGGACTTCTATCTTTCTTACAAGTCTTTCATGTGGCACTTCGTCAAATGCCTTTCGAAAGTCCATGTACACGACATCAACGGCACTGCCTTTATCCGCCCTCTCCGTTACCTCATCGGAAACTTCCACTAGATTTGTCGGACAAGACCCGCCTGTAACAAATCCGTGCGGCGGTCCCGTATTAACCCGTATTCTTCCAAGGGAAGATTTATTCTGTCCCGGATTATAGTCTCCAGGAGTTTCCCCACTACCGATGTTCGGCTGACGGGTCCGTCGTTCCCAGGTTCGTCCTTCTGTCCCCTTTTGTACAGGAGAGTCACATTGGCCACTTCTCCAGTCCTCGGGCGCCACTCCCGTGTCCAACGCCGATTGAAAAATTGTGGCCAAAGCCTCCGCTATTTTGTACCCGTCCCTCCCATAGTAACCTCGGCTGCATCCCGCCCGGACCGGGCCACTTGTCTCCCTTCAGCCCAGTCAACCTTTTTAATATAATCCAATAACATAACAATATAATAACATAATATTATAGTATAATAATATATTATGATATTATAGCACATGAATCCTGCTCGGTGCTTGCTCCCTCATACCCACCCGCCTCCTCTCCCGATCTCCCAGCTCTGTTGCCTTGCCGTCTGCTAACAGATGTTACCAATCTCTCCGTGTCCACTTGTGCCGTTCCCACTTCACTTGAATCTGCTGTCACCCCCTCTTCTCAAAAATCCCTCTCTTAGTTACCATCCCACCTCTAACCTCTAACCTGCCAACAGCACTCTCTCCTCATTCTGATCTGTAACCGGGGCTCTCCGTATCTTCTTCTTCTCCTCGATCTCTCTCCAGGCTTCAATGTTGTCAACCACTATCCTTTTTCACCACCTCACCTCTCTCAGCTCCACCTTCACAGGTCAGTCCTCTCCTGGTTTCACGCGTACCCATCCCAACTTTGCCGACCCTTTCACAGTTACTTCAGTCCTCTTTAACATCTACATGCTCCCGCTCGGTGATGTCTTCTACAGACATGGGGTTAACTTCCATATATATGCAGATGGCACCCAAATACGTGATGAACGCATGGATGAAGGTATCAGCAGCCGGATGGGAGAGATGTTGGAGGAACCGGGCGACTTTGTGGAGATTGGGAAGGCAGAGCGGGTCACGGCGTGAATGAGGGGTAGAAAGGACAATTTGACAAGGGTCAAACAAGACGGTAGGTCCTGGACCGGTTCAGTGAGATAGAGTGTGCGTCCCTGGATGCCGCCAACGCCTGAGGTGTGGAGGCACTATCTTGTTCCCTTCCCACCTGTGCCATCTCAACTCATACACTGACTACACTTGGTAGCAATTTCCTGTGAAATACTTTGAGACGCAGTCACTGGATCAGATGCAAAGAGGATTGTAGTATTAGGAATCGAAGCCCTCAACCCTGTTGTCTTGACCTTTTGCAAGTTTAAATGTTTTTGTTGCTTTGTGCATAGAAATTCCAGGGCCGTCGAACACGAAGTCCGAAGAAACAAATCACCAGTGAGCAGTTTCTGGCAGTAACCCTTCCGGTGAGTTGTCAATGTTGCTGCGTGTGGAAGTCCAGCCGTAAAGCGACTGGCGATTTCTCCAATGCTCTGCTATTCACAGCCATGTCCTCACCCCGACCCAAAATCCATCCCCCCCCGTCCTCAGCTTCTCTGGTTCCCCGACACAGAACAGATTGGTTTCAAGATCCTCACATTCTCTGCCCCGGCACCTGCCAACCTCTCTCTGCCACCTGTCTCACCCCCCATTCCTCTACCTTCACTCAGCCATCGACCAACCCGGTCCATGTCATCAGTTACGCCGCGAGCCTCTGGAACTTACCTCTTCCCCTCCACCTCACCCCTTGTTGGTCTGTCTGCGGATCGCAGCTGAAGACCTTCCTCTTTGACTGCGCTTTGGGCAATCTCCCCTCCCACTCTGGCTCAGCTGAGGCAGCTGAGACCCGGAGCCGGGCTCTCGCCTGTTCCTCCCGGACTTCTTTTTGTCTCTCAGCTAATTCTGCGTTGGTTATAAATTACAACACTGTGCATTCTTCTACCTTAACTCAGCCGAGCCTTGGCACCTCTCATGGTGCAGCAAGTGATCTTCATTTACTCTCTTACAGTCAACGGCCGATCGGTGTCCTCGGGCTCCGGGACTCCCAGCGCATTCGGCTCCAGCAACGGCAAACGCTCGCGAGCCGACCACGGGCAGGAAAGCAGTGGTCGTGGGGTTGAGGGTTGAGGCAGAAAGATAGAGTTGGTTTTTACACACACACACGCAGAGCAGAGTACCCCCCCACACACACACCTTTTTTTGTAACTTACGGTGCAGTTATTTGTGTTTTTTAGCAGCTGATTCACATCACATCCTACGAACAGCTTCTCCGTGAATAATCCGCTCTGCACAGTGATGGCGGGCGGTGCTGCACTTCATTTTGTTCCATTAAGCGCTCTGGGACCTTACCCCGAGCTCTGGGACTCTGCCCTGCGTGAGGGGTGCTATATAAATGCAGGTTATTGTTACTCATTGCATTTCAAAGTTTATTATTATTTTCCAGGTTGGAGCTGCTGCGGCGGAGCCCGACTCGTCAATACTGTGTGAAACATCGATTATATCGAGATGTGGGATACGAACCGACTGTCCGCTTCTGTCCAGACCGGTTCAAACAAAATAAAACTCATTGATTTGGAGTCAGAACATGTCTGTGTCTGTGTGTGTGTGTGTGGGACCTGTGTCCAGGGGGGAGGCTATGGTTGGAGGCTTGTCACACGCATGGAACATGCACGGACGTGGGGTAGACAGGACGGTTGCGGGTTAAACAAGAGGCCGAGGCTCTGCTTGAAACGTCAGTTGTGTTGATTCAGGACCGAGAGTTGGTTTCTTTCGGGGATGCGATGGGTAGAGTGGGGTTCGCCTAATTGGCCCGAATTCAAGATCCTCATCCTCACCTACGAGGCCATTCGCGGCCTCGCTCCCTCCTACCTCTCCGACTTACTATGCCCCCACGTACCTGCCCGTACCCTCCGTTCCTCCGGCTCCGGTCTGCTCCACATCCCCCGCCCCAACCGCCCTACCATCGGTGGCCTTCAGCCTCTCAGCCCCGAGGCTCTGGAACTCCATCCCCCGGTGCCTTCGCCGCTTCCTCCCTTTCCTCCTTCAAGGCCGGTCTCAAGACCTTTCTCTTTGACTGCGCCTTCAGCTCCTCT